GAGTGGCCAAGGAATGTTTCTATGAAGATAATTAAACGGAATTGGCAAAAGAACTCAAATAGGTTAATGGTTTCGGAGTGAAACATGTAAGTTATTGCAACAGATTTCTGAGAGAAGGCTCTTTTCTAACTCAGTTTTGGTCGATTTTTTCTTGTAATTACAATATGTTTGGTTTATCTATTCCAATGCTTTTTGTTTGGTGCACATAGTCATTATACTTGTTGGGTTTTATTGGTGATCAATATAAAATATTGCTCTGACCGGTAGAGCATTGTCCCGATATGCCAAGGTTGTAGTTTGTCCCAGGTCAAAGCACATACAAGAATTAACCCATGAATGCATAAATAAGTGGAACAACAAATCTCTTTCTCTACCTGTCTACCTATCTCTCTCTCAAATCAATAAATAATTTAAAAAATGTAAAGAAATATCACTCTCTGCCCTGACTGGTTTGGCTCAGTGGATAGAAGGTCGGCCTACGGGCTCAAAGGTCACGGGTTCAATTTCAGTCAAGGGCATGTACCTTGGTTGCAGGCACATCCCCAGTGGGGGGGTATGTAGGAGGCAGCTGATCAATGTGTCTCTCTCATCGATGTTTCTAACTCTCTATCCCTCTCCCTTCCTCTCTGTAAAAAATCAATAAAGTATATTTTTTAAAAAAAGAAATATCACTCTCTGTCCCATTCTTTTTGCCTTAAATATATTTTGTTTCATATTTAAATTAACCTTTTAGCTTTCTTTTTATTACAATTTGCCTCTAATAATTTTATGGGGACCTCTATTTAAAAATGTTTTATATTTGGCTTTTTCTGTATACTTATTACAGACAAGGCCCGGTGCACAAAATTCGTGCACTGGGAGGGTGGGGGGAGTCCCTCAGCCCACCCTGCCCCCCTCACAGACTGCAGAGCCCTCAGGGGATGTCCTACAGGCCACTCTATCAACTCAAGGAGACTTAGCAGCTACCCAGTACATAGAAACAAACATAGGGAAGCAGCCAAAATATGGAGACAAAGAAACAAGTCACAAATGAAAAAAATGGATGAAAGAAAAATACTGGATATAGAGTTCAAAACCACTGTTATAAAGTTACTCAAGAATCTTCTAGAAACCTCCAAAAAATTTGGTGAGACCCTCAAGGATATGAAAAAGGACCAATCAGAAATTGAGCATACACTGACTGAAATAAAGAATATTAAACAGAGATCCAACAGCAGACTAGAGGATCCCAAGAATCAAGTCAAAGATT